GCCGCTTCCCCGGGGAGCCGCACGTGCCGCTGGAGCAGCGCCGGGGCTTCCTCGCCTGCGAGCAGTACCGGGCTCTGCGGCCGGACCTGGGGGTAGGCGCGGGAGCCCGCCTCCCCGGGGGATGCTCACCCCGGACGGTGCCCCTTCCCCCCGACCCACCTCCGCGACCCCAGCCAGACTCCTCGATCCGGAGCCTTTCGTGTGAGCCCTCGTCGGCCCGGGTCTGCTGGAGGCACGCCCAGGACCGCGTCCGCTGTGTCTTGCAGGACAAAGTGGCCAGCGTGTATGAAGCCCCAGGCTTTTTCCTAGACTTGGAGCCCATCCCGGGGGCCGTGGAAGCCTTGCGGGAGATGCACGCCATGCCAGAGTAAGGAGGGTGGGGCGGGAGGGGCGGTGCCTGGGGCGGGGGCGGCGGGCGGGGCTGACGGGACCCCCACCCCCTCTCCGCAGCACCGAGGTCTTCATCTGCACCAGCCCCCTGCTGAAGTATGACCACTGTGTGGGCGAGAAGGTGCGGCCGCCTTCCCAAGTCCCCACTTCCGAATGAGCCTCGCAGAAATAGTGAAGGGCTGGGGGAGAGGGGACCTTAGACCCCGTTCGCTCCTCCACGCCCCCGCTCCCGAATTCAGAGCCCCCCCCCCCCCCCCCCCCGTCTCCTACACAGTACCGCTGGGTGGAGCGGCACCTGGGCCCCCAGTTTGTGAAGCAGATCATCCTGACGCGGGACAAGACCGTGGTCTTGGGGGACCTGCTCATTGATGACAAGGACACCATTCAAGGTTGGACCGTTTATCCTTGGCAACCCCAGGCCTCTGGCCGGCCAGGATTAGGGGGCGGGAGTAAAAATAACCAGCTTACCGGTCACCTGCTGGCCGCTCCCCTGTCCTAGGCCACGAGGAGACCCCCAGCTGGGAGCACATCCTGTTCACCTGCTGCCACAATCGGCACCTGGCCCTGCCCCCGACCAGGCGGCGGCTGCTCTCCTGGAGCGACAACTGGAGGGAGATCATAGACAGCAAGCGCAGAGCCGGCCGGCAGTGAACAGGCCCGTGTGGACAGTGGCCGCAGGGAAGCCCCCTGGAGCCAGTGGCACCAGCGCCAGGGAGACACTGGTGCAGGCCCGGCCAGCTGGCATCTCCAGGGATGGCTGCACCCAGTGCCGGGCTGGCATGGGAACAGTGGGAAGAGCAGTCATGACGCTTTTAATAAAAAACTTTGACTCTGTCTTTGGAGACCTTTTATTGGGGAGCAGCTGGAACGGGGCTGAGGATGGCTCCCCTCCGTCCCTTCTCCCGAGTGCAGATTGCAGAACCTGCCTCAGTGCCACGCCCGCCTGGGCACCACTCTGGCCCCACGTTTCCTGAATGTCTCCAGTCCCTGCCTCGGAGGCACTTCCAGGGGTGAGGGCCCCCTTCACTGTGCGGGGGGGGTGCAGGGTGCTTCCAGGGGTGAGAGCCCCCCTTCACCATGTGTATGTGGGGGGGCGTGGGGTACTTCCAGGGGTGAGGGCCCCCCTTCACTGTGCGGGGGATGCGCAGGGTGCTTCCAGGGGTGAGGGCCCCCCTTCACTGTGTGGGGGGGGCGCGGGTGGTGAGGGCACAGACTGAGCTCCAACAGCTCTGCCTTTGTCCTGAGGCGGCGTCACCCGCACGGCCTTGGTCCTGATGCCACGTTAACAGTCACGGCTGTCACTCGAGGGCAGGGACCGCGCCTTCGTTTCGGAGTCCCTTCCATGATGTCTGGCAGACAGCAGGACGTCATCCTGCACCCAGCTCGGCGACTGCCACGCCTGGGTGCCAGCCTGGGAGCTGGACGGGAGGGGTCCATCTCAGCGCAGCCCTGGAGGAGGTGTGACGCCCCCGGCTCCCTGGGGCCCGTGCTCTTATGCCCACAGATCATTTCTGTTCCTCAAAATGACTGCAGGCCCTTATTTCTTCAAGTGCAGGCAATTCTCTGCCTCCGGCTCAGAACCTGCCCCTCTGAAAGCCTCTGGACCCAGGGACCTAGCAGTGCGGCAGCGCCAGCCTGTGCAGACGGCGTCAGCTTTGGCGTCCGTCTCCATGTGTCCCCGAGTCTGGCTTCCTGCCCTAGTGCCCTCTCATCAGAGTATCTGTCGTGCTGCGAAACTCACCTGTGAAGTGGCTGAGACAGCACAGTCCTGGCAGAGCGTGCCCAGGGGAGCCGGCCCCGCCTGCTCCCTGCCTGCTCCCCGCCTGCTCCCTGCCTGCTCCCCGCCTGCTCCCCGCCTGCTCCCTGCCTGCTCCCCGCCTGCTCCCCGCCTGCTCCCTGCCCCACGACCATGGTGTCTGGCAGTAAGCTGCTGCCGCCCAGGGGCTGCTTCAGATCAGGGCTGTTGTGGGGCCTCGGACTTTGGCAGTGGGATGCCCAGGGCGGAGTGGGCCTGCCGGCTGCGGGCTTCGGCCACCTGGCTTGGGGAACAGAAGTCTTCCAGGAAGATCTGGGCCAGGTTCCGGAGCCTTGTGTTGGCCGAGAGAGAGAAGCGCAGCATGCACTGGACCACAGGCATGGCGGTCAGCTCCGGGTGGCAGCCGGCGCCCGGCGAGCCCAGGTACATGAGCGTGGTGACAGCGGACAGCACCGTCTCCTCGTTGGTGCTGGACAGGCAGTTGGTGATGAGCGGGATGCCCCCCGCCTGCAGGATGTGCTCCTTGTTGGCTCTGTCCGGGCACAGGTTGCAGAGGCCTCCTGCGAGAGAGCAAGACAGTCTGGGCTGCAGCCCTGGGCTTCCTCCCATCTCTGCTCCCCAAGCCTCCCTGCCCACGGAGTCCCGGGAAGGACCCAGGCCTGTGAGAGGCTGGCCCTGGAGCCAGGATCCAGAGTCTGTGTGCTCTCCTGTCCTCTCTCTCAAAGGTTCCAGAAAGGACTTCTGAAGTGGGCAAAATTCCCGTTCCCTCTTGGTTCATCCAGCTTGATGGCTGACATGTTTTTCTTTTTTAAAGATAAAATCAATGGGGCTGTTGTGGTGGTGTAATGGGTTAAACTGCTACATGTTCCACTTCTGGCCCAGCTCCCTGTTAATGTGCCTGGGAAAGCGCTGGAGGATGGCCCAAGTACCTGGGCCCTGCCACCCACGTGGGAGACCCGGATGAAGCTCCTGGCTCTCCTGGCTTTGGCTTGGCCCAGCTCTGGCTGTTGTGGCCACTTGGGGAGTGAGCCAGTGGATGGGACATCTATCGTCCACCCTCCAGCCACTGTAACTCTGCCTTTCAAATAAATAAATAAATCTTTAAACAAAAAACACACAATACTTCGCCCACCATCACTTTAGAAGAATTTTTATACATAGGTAAAGTGATGGTTTTTACATGTCAAAGCTTATCAAATTGTACCCTTCAAATATGGACCACTTACATCAGTCATACCTCAACACACCTACTAAACAGCGGCTAAAGCAGCTTACTCCTACCCTCCAGTCATCTATTTTTCATCCCATAATCTTGAAGCCTGTGAATGCACACGAATCTCTAACAGAGAAGGGGCCTCTCCTGGCCGTTGTGCCAGCCAGTCCATGAACACTGCATCACCTTGCGGTGGAGAGCAGCGGCTGCAGGTGGACGACCGCACTGCGGCATTTAGTGCCATTCCCATGAGGGCAACTCATCCCCCTGGCCGGTGCCACTGCTGCTGGGACCCTGGGAGAAGCAGGGAAGGCTCCAGAAGGAACCCATGTACTCAGGAGGTGTGAGCAGACCCCTCCCCCTTGCTCTCAGCTCAGGCAGCCTCAACTCAATCACCTCCCCCCCCCGCCCTGGGGACAGATGCTGCCTTGTCTAGAGGCTCAGTGCTTAGCACTGGTTACTCAATGCTGGAAGAGGGCTTCCTGCGCATCAACTCAGCTTCCTGCCACTGCCCCGCCCCCACCTCTAGGTTCCTGCTCAGTTGGAGGGAGCCCTGTCTCAGCTCATTTACATAAGATATTCAAGGAGTCTTGATGGACCAATCAGGAGCAGGAGGTCCAGCCCCACCCACTTCCCTGTTTCTCTGGAGACTCAAAAAGAGAAGTGGGCTTCCGGACCTTCCCCAGCAAGAGGGCACAGTGCCCTCTTCTGCTGCTCCCCCAGGGCCCGGAGTCAAGGTTTCTCTCCGGCCAGGCTGAGTGCTGCTTTAGAAAAACATTTTTCAGGTTTCATCCCTGTGACCTCCGGGATTTTCCACTGCATTTGGAATGGAATCCTAACTCTCCCGTGCCCTTCACCCCAGCCTTAGCTGGCCAGGTCCTTCCCCTCTCCCTGAGCTCACGGCACATGCCAAGCCCAGTCCACCCCAGACCCTTCTGGCTCCAGGTCCTTCCTCACCTGCGTCCAGTCTCTTGCTAACCAGCAGGTCCTCCCTGAGTACCTGACCAGCCCCTTACCACGTCCAGGGTAGCCCCCTCATGTCTCGTATCCTTTTCTTTTTAAAAAATATTTATTTATTTGAAAGGCAGAGTGACGGAGAATTTCCATCCATCTGTTCACTCCCCAAATGCTTACATCAGGTAGAGCTGGGCCAGGCTGACGCCAAGAGCCAGGAACTCCATCCAGGTCTCTCGTGTGGATGACCAGGACACAAGCTGTTGAGCCATCAGCTGCTGCCTGCCAGGCACATTAGCAAGAAGCTGGATGGGAAGCTGAGGCAGCGCTTCATCCCAGACATCCTGATATGGGATACTGGCGTCCTTAGCATCCACTTAATCTGCCGTGTCACGACACCCTCCGCGCTTGTGTCCCGTCCTCCACATACTTAGAACCCTGAGAATAACCTCCGTGAATCTGCTGTCTTGCTCACTGCCTACCAAGCCCCGCTAGAAAGTAAGTGGTCTGTGGTCAGAACCTCGGCTATCAAGGGGTGGGCACTGTGGCCCAGCGTGGGCTGCCCTTGGGAGGCTTGCATCCCCTCTTCAAGTGCCAGTGAGTCTCAGCTACCTCCCTTTGGATCCGGCTCTCTGCTAATTTGCCTGGGAAGGCAGCAGATGATGGCCCAAGGGCTTGGATCCGTGACACTCACAT